AGCTTCAGTCTTTCTCAGTCTATCTTAATGTTATTTATTAGTCCAGTAGCTCTGATAGTGTAGTGGTTACAAATCAGGCTGCGAAATGCAAGGTCAGCAGTTCAAAACTACCAGCTGTTCCATGGGACAAAGATGAGGCTTTCTGCTCCTGTAAAGATTTACAGCTTCAGAAACCCTGTACAGGGTCGCTATGAGTCAGAACCAACTCCACAACACATAACAAGAACAACAGTGGCCTAAAGTTGTTACATGCCGTCAAGACAGTTCTGACTTATAGCAACCCTGTATAAGGTTACCAAGGAGGGGCTGGTGGGTTTAAGCTGCTGACCTTGTGGTTAGCAGTCCAGTGCTTATCCTACCGTGCCAGAGGAGGACTCCAAAGTAAATAGTCCTTTTTAAAACTTCTTCAACCCTTTACGTTTTTAAAAAGGGATTATTGGTCTTTTAGAGTTGCTAGTGGCTGATGTCTTAATTAACGAGGGTTGCTGGTGGCCACTGCAGTGTCTGATATTTTTTGTAACCTATTCCACATGAGGATCCTGTGTGCTTATGGGGTCTAATGGGTATAGTTAACTAGTTGTGTGCTCTCCGGTCACTTCCCACTCAGAGCAGCTATGGCAGAGTAGATACGAAGTGCCCCACAGGGGTTCCTAGGCTGTAATCTGTATGGGAGCAGATCACCAGGTCTTTTCTCCCACAAAAAGGTGTTGGTGAGTTTGAATCACTCTTTTCAGTAAGCTGCTGAACTACTCTGATAAGTATCTCTTAAACCTCTCTTATGCTTTCAAATCGAGGTCATGAGTTACGATCTTTGTAAGAAGAATAGTCTCTATTACGGATTTCATTTCAGCCTTATGACTTGTAGTAACGTAATTGGTATAGCTCAAGATAGCCACTGTAGACCAATTTTCAGGATTAATACAGGAATTTCAGAGCTAACTTGGTATATCAAATATTGAAAGCTTCAGAAGTAAGCTAGAACTTTATAGTGACTACATTGGATATAACATGTATCTGTTCTTTTTCTCTAACGAACCCAAGC